TCTTATGGAGCTTGGGAAATGCATTCACTAGTGGTTCACTTTCTAGAGTTCCAGACCTTTGGAGAAAGTAGTGGAGGGTGTTTTTCTTCAAGTTTCTTCTTCCCAGTAAGATGTTCTTGCCGTAAACCAAATGGATAAAGTTTTGTTTATTTTGTTGCTGGAATATCCAAAGTTTTTGAAGAAGGAAGAGTAAACAAGTGGGGGAAGGCACCTGCCTTCAGAAGATAATGTTTTTAAAAAAAGTATATAGACTTTATTATCAAAAATAAAAATTATTTTTGAGAACGTCTGTTTTTTAGGTTGGCAAGGGGATCAGCGGAAAGAGTTTATTTGGTGTATATTTATATTTTCTTTCAAATGAATATTTAATTATATAATTTAGCTAAAAATTTACAAAGTTTTATTAAAACAAAAAACAATATTTAATTTAAATTTTTCAAAATTTCAAAATTTTTATTATATTATTTAGTATATTTTTATTCTTTTTCAAATGAATATCTAATTATATAATTTAGATAAAAATTTATAAAGTTTTATTAAAACAAAAAACAATATTTAATTTAAATTTTTCAAAATTTTTAAAATTTTCAAATAAATTTATTTATTTAATTTATTTAATAATAATAATTTTTTATTATATTATTTAATGTATATTTTTATTTTCTTTCAAATGAATATCTAATCATATAATTTAAATAAAAATTTACAAAGTTTTATTAAAACAAAAATAATATTTAATTTAAATTTTTAAAATTTTTTAAATTTTCAAATAAATTTATTTATTTAATTTATATAATAATTATAATTTTTTAATATATTGTTTAATATGTATTTTTATTCTCTTTTAAATGAATATCTAATTATATAATTTAGATAAAAATAGATAAAGTTTTATTAAAACAAAAAACAATATTAATTTAAATTTTTAAAAATTTTAATATTTTCAAATAAATTTATTTATTTAATTTATATAATAATTATAAATTTTTATTATATTATTTAGTGAATATTTTTGTTTTCTTTTAAATGAATATTTAATCATATAATTTAGATAAAAATTGATAAAGTTTTATTAAAACAAAAAACAATATTTAATTTAGAGTTTTTAAATTTTTTAAATTTTCAAATAAATTTGTTTATTTAATTTATATAATAATTATAAATTTTTATTATATTATTTAATGTATATTTTTATTTTTTTTCAAATGAATATCTAATTATATAATTTAGATAAAAAATTGATAAAGTTTTATTAAAACAAAAAAAATAATATTTAATTTAAATTTTTAAAATTTTTAAAATTTTCAAATAAATTTATTTATTTAATTTATATAATAATTATAAATTTTTAATATATTGTTTAGTGTATATTTTTATTTTCTTTCAAATGAATATTTAATTATATAATTTAAATAAAAAAATTGATAAAGTTTTATTAGATTTAAATATAATTTTAAATTTTAAAAAACAAAAATTTTTCTAAAATTTTGTTACAAAAATCTAATATATTATTGGTTAATAATTGTGGCACAATTATGATATTGTGGCAAAATTATAACATTGCAGCAAAATTATAACATTGCGGCAAAATTATAACATTGCACAATTATGACATTGCAGCACAATTGTGGCATTGCAGCAAATCACATGATTGCATCACAATTATGTCAGTGGCATTGCGGCAAATCACATGATTGCATCACAATTGCATCATAGTAATTTAATTGTGGCAAATTTTATATAATAATTGCAACTTCACCATCAATAATTGAGTCAATTGTAAAATAATTTTAACCATATATATATTAATTATATTATTTTGTATATTTAAAAAACTTTTATATATTTTTATTTTTTATATCTTCAAATATATATATGCTTATTTTTATTTTATTATTTAATTATTTATTAAATTATAATAAAAATATAAATTGATTTTTTTCAATTATTTTTTGTTTTATATTGTAAATACGTATATATAATCAAATTATTTACTATATTTTCTTTTATTTTTATTATTATTTTATTATTATTTGTTAATCTTTTTATAAATTTTATAATTATTTGTCAATAAATAAACAGTTATAACTTGTAATAAAGAAACGACCGTTGTATGGAACTTGTTTGAACAAGTACAGCAAAACGGTAATTTTCTATCGAGTTATACTGTATGTAGAAGTATTTGTACTATAGTTTTTGCTCAATTTTATTGGTTTAATATTTTAGTTAATGGTGATAATAGTGTGTTCTTTTAGAAAGTGACAATAAATAACTTTATTTTTATTTTAATATTTCCAAAACATTTGTTTTATCTCTCACCCCTAGTTAAAATTTGGTCCGCAAACAATTTATTTTGGCCAATTTTACAAATAAATACATGAATAAATATTTAAAAATTTAGAAAGTCGATACATTTATTGAATCTTTTTAGCCATTTTCTCCTCGTCAACAGAAAATGGTTTTTCCGACTTTGTTGACTTTTTTGTGGGATGCTTTGCCTGATTGCATATCAGTGGTATAATAAAAAATTTGAATCTTGATGATCAGAAAATGCAAACTCGCCAGAAATCACAAGGATCGAATGTGCCTTACCTCAAGTATAGCAATACAATATTCGCTCAAAGGTTTTACACACCACCTTGTAGGATTCAAAACCCCTGTAAACCACCCAAGGTGGCCACCATAATACGTAGTAGCCAAAATGCAATACGGATTATACCTGTATATAGAAAATTGCATAAGGTGAATAAGGAAGCATTTAATGCAAAAATAAAGGAATATATATATACAGTATATATGTTGGAAAGTTGCATATAACCAAATGTAATTACTTGATCTCATCTATCGGTACCCAATCCATTGAACAGATAGGATCATCTTCGGCATTAAGACATAGCAAAGGTATTCGAACTTTAGTTATATACTGGGAACTACTAGCATCCCGATAGTAATGGTCTACAGTCTCATAGCCAAAACTGACAGCCGTTAACCGCGAATCGAAATCACGTAAATAAAACGCCTTTAAAAGTAACTTGTATTAGATATCATCCATGAAATTGCAATGTCTCTTCTAATATTTGTGAACTTACGGAAAAGATATGATCAAGATCGATCTTCGTGTCTTGTTTCATGACATCCACGTGCCTTCTGAGACACCGTTTAAGATTATTTGCCATTGCTGGAGAATATAAATATTTCCCAATATATGTTGATGTCAGATACTTGCTTCCTCTGTCAGGTATGGAAATAATATTACTTGCTATTTATCGTATATTTCATCAGACAACTTGGATCCAAAAAAACACATACCCTAAAATATCAAAAGGGTTACCGACCGAAGCAGCTCCGATCAACGGTGTCTTATCTCCTTCCTCTCCGAGATACTAAATCACGAGGTTTATTCAAGAAGAAGATATGATTTTATCCAAAATTCCAAAAAATATTGTTACCTTAACCAGAACGTTTGCGCCCATGCTAAAACCGATTGCGATCAATGATGCATTCGGAATAGTTTCTTGGATATAGCGTAAAACTGTTCTCAAGTCGTTAGTGGACGCAGCCGAGTATAGCTTTGGTGAAGTAATATGAGATTCCGAGCATCCACGAAAATTGATTACAACCGCCCGATAGTTGTGAGGTGGATTTGTGAGAACTTCAAGTAAACATCGAAT